AATCACACGGTTGATGATATAAATCCTGCTTTGCTTCATACTGAGCCTAGACTATTATGGGAAGTATGATAAGTTCGAACCTTATTATATGAGTAATGCATGCAGGATTTTTATCATCAACCATATCTGTTCGGGCTTCTTGTGGAGAACATTCTAGTAAAGCTGTTGGGTTGTTGTTTAGGGGTTTAGTGTTTCTAAGGTTTTGGGTTTAGGGTGGTGCAGGGTCATAGTACGGTTGATGATATAAATCCTGCATTGCTTCATACTGAGCCTAGACTATTCTGGGAAGTATGATAAGTTCGAACCTTATTATGAGTAATGCATGCAGGATTTTTATCATCAACCATATCTGTTCGGGTTTCTTGTGGAGAATATTCTAGTAAAGCTGTTGGGTTGTTCTTTAGGGGTTTAGTGTTTCTAAGGTTTTGGGTTTAGGGTGGTGCAGGGTCATAGTACGGTTGATGATATAAATCCTGCATTGCTTTATACTGAGCCTAGACTATTCTGGGAAGTATGATAAGTTCGAACCTTATTATGAGTAATGCATGCAGGATTTTTATCATCAACCATATCTGTTCGGGTTTCTTGTGGAGAACATTCTAGTAAAGCTGTTGGGTTGTTGTTTAGGGGTTTAGTGTTTCTAAGGTTTTGGGTTTAGGGTGGTGCAGGGTCATAGTACGGTTGATGATATAAATCCTGCATTGCTTCATACTGAGCCTAGACTATTCTGGGAAGTATGATAAGTTCGAACCTTATTATGAGTAATGCATGCAGGATTTTTATCATCAACCATATCTGTTCGGGTTTCTTGTGGAGAATATTCTAGTAAAGCTGTTGGGTTGTTGTTTAGGGGTTTAGTGTTTCTAAGGTTTTGGGTTTAGGGTGGTGCAGGGTCATAGTACGGTTGATGATATAAATCCTGCATTGCTTTATAATGAGCCTAGACTATTCTGGGAAGTATGATAAGTTCGAACCTTATTATGAGTAATGCATGCAGGATTTTTATCATCAACCATACCTGTTCGGGTTTCTTGTGGATGGTATTCTAGTAAAGCTGTTGGGTTGTTGTTTTTGGGGATGCCAGATAGCTTCCGGACCAACATTGTACGACTACAAATGACAAACAGCCACCCAAAAGCCTCCTAGAAAGCCGCTCCCGAAGAACCCGACGAGGACCCATTTGGCGCTCACAGTAGGTTAGGATACGGCTAGGGTTCTAGGGCGGGATCTCCTGGGCGTGGTTTTTTCCTGCCGAGCTGCCATCGGTCTGTATATGTATACACGTCCCAGCGAAGCATTCTAGTCCATTGTATCAAGTTCAGAGACCCGTTCACATTTGTTCGGAGGGCCCTTGGGACTCAAAACTGTGGCTACAGACATTGCATCTTGAAAGACACAGATTATGTCATCCACCATGGCATCAATCTCCACTCCATCGTTGCCATTGATCACATGTAGCTGCTTGTTAAAGGCTGCCCAGCCTTGCTTCAAATACACAAGAAGCCGTTTGGGGTTGTCTCGCAACATGAGCCTTTCGCAGGAGAGACCTTCAGGCGTTGCAGGTAGGCCAGTTTGGACATAGTAGACATCATCCCACCGCCCCCAGCCTCGACCCACATGGTGTCTCAGTGATGTTAGCGTGTCGATCAGAGTTATGATGGCTACACGACCACGGTCTGCATAAAGTGGCGTGTACCGGAGCAGATTCAAGAGGGACTCCCGAATATGCTCACCCCCGAACACAGTCCAGAATTGGTTCTTCTCACCGATCCGGATCAGGATGCGACCAGCCCAGATCTGGACCAGCACAACATCAACGACACTCGATTGATCCATGGCAGAAAAATATACTTCTAGATCCGTACTATATGATTGCACAACATTGACACTGCCAAGCAGTCTTTACAACTTGGGTTCAGAAATCTTTGAGCGGGACTGGGTATATGTTGCAACACATGGATACATGCAGCCTTGGGTCCCCTCTGCAGAGCAAAAGCCCTGATCTCATGGATGCAGCAAACATAAACAAGCTTCTGCACTCTTCAGGGGTCTGGAGTTGGGTGTATGTAATTCATATCAGCTACAAGAAACCCCCAAAGCTTATATAGGACAACATGAACCCCCATATCAACCCTATTAGGATAAGAATGCGGATCTGCGTTCAAGACACCTCTCCAGTAGAGTGTTTCCCACACAGACATACTCCTTCGTGGTATCCCCATAAGGCACGAGGGCTGAGCGGCAGTTTGTTGCCTGGTTGATAGCAGCGAAACTTGTGCATACAACAGCCAAGACCACAAAGAAGGAATCCTCGCAGCAGTGTAGAACCATCCAAATGGCCAGCCTCAGCAGCATGGGAAATCAGGACTTTGTATGGTCTTCGTTATAACCCCATGTGTCGCTCTGCATATAAATGGACAAGATGCCCGAAACCTGAAGGCGTTGTCATATCCAGCGGATTTTGGGCCAACTCGCCCACATGTTTGGAGTAGGAAACATCGATACCAGCAGCAGAGTAAGATGCAGCTCGTACTCGTTTGGTGCAATGAGCCATGCCAGCGAAAAATTCCAAGAAATGGAATGCCTGTCCCCGAGCACATGACACATTTGTATAATGGCTGAGAACTGACCTTCACAACAAAAGCCTGTGTGGGAGGCCGAATCAGATTGCCGAAGTACACGAGTACGACTGCGAAGATGAAGGCCTGAGAGCATGGCAGAACAAGCAGCTTTATAGACATGCACCCTACACTGGGCTAATGTTCGGGAGAAAGCCTTTGGAGCTTGAAGCTTCGTAAGTCGCCACACCAGCAAGTCAATGTTCACAGCAGGCATGATCGGGAGGGGTGCCAGCCACTACATCACCTATCTAGCCCAAATGTCTCGAGCAACTTGCTGCTGGACAGAGAAAGCTTTCGATGCGTTTGTTCATGCAGCCAAAAATATGCACACAGGAAAACCGGCAAGGAGTTGAAGCAGGCCAGGCAAACGAGCATCAGTCAAACAGCCTCTCCGAGCTGCTAGTGCAGAGCCTCGCCTCGTCTGGCAGAACTTCTTGACCTGGCAGCCAACACATCGAATCCCAAGGGCACGAAGTGCATGAGTGCAAGAATGCAGTGACACAGGCTGCAGGAATCAGGCACGATCGCAAATCTTTTTTTTCGCCGTCGGGCCCCACCCTGATCTTCTAGAATTGCCCGGCCTGCTCTAGTGTGTGCCGAAAAAGCACACGTGCACGGCCAGGTTGCCGAAAGCACAGAATTTTGCGTGGACTGCAAGACTGATCCCGAATCAAGTGGAGAGGTGCTTTTTGGGGTTGTATGGCGCATGAACAAACATCAGTCAGCAGGACAGTCCGGGTGAGCCCCAAACTACTGGGAATTGTAAACCTCCCAAGCTTTGCGCATTGATGCCTTCAGGATCCGGATGTAGGCCTGACCCTCGGTAGTGTCAGCGAAGCCATTGTTGTTGTACATTTCCTGTGCCTGAGCTGCATTCGTGTGGCAAAGAGAATTCGAAAACTCACAAACACCACAGACTCAAGACCCTTCTGCTGATAGGTTGCAAGAAGTCGCCCCAGCACGAGGTTCGAAGCTATGGTGGGTGTGTGGCCCCCGAAATGCGCTACGTCTTCACTGGGCATTTCGGGACGTCGCAAGGAGACCCCAACTGCATCTCGGGTCCAATACACATTGAGCCTCACAATGGGAAGCCAATCCTGCTTGTGCAACTCGAGTCCCGAGTCTTCATAGTAGCTTTCACCATAGTCGTTCATGACCTTGACAAGCTTGTCAACCACCTCCTGGTTGGGGGCGGTTCCATCATCACCCCGGGGGCCTCTCTTCTTCTTCTTAACTGGATCCTCCATAGAGGCCACTGGCATCGGGGATGCCTTTGCTTTTGCCTTGGCCTTTGGACGACCCGCAGACTTCGGCGAGGCTTTCGGCTTGGCAGCTGTGGATTTGGCCGAGGCCTTTGCCTTGGCTTTCGGCTTGGCTGCTGTGGACTTGGCGGAAGCTTTCGCCTTTGGCTTTCCTTTCGGCTTTGCCGTGGATTTGGGCGAGGATTTCGCCTTCGCTGTGGCTTTCGGCTTCGGCTCACCATCTGCTGCCTCAGCAGTCGCAGCCTTACCCCCATCCTCAAAGACAAAAGCTGGCAACCTAGCCAGCTTGGACGTCTTGGCCGTGCGCTTACCCCTGCGGCGCCTGCGCCTGCGAAGGGCTTTCTTCACGGATGACTCGGCCTCCCCTGCACCACTCTTGCGGTTCTTGGCTTCCTCAGCTTTGTATGCACATCTGCCACATCTGACGACACATGTGCATGCACGGCAAACAGATTTGCAACAAAGAGTCTGCCCGGCGCTTATGCACCAGGCCATGCTGCATCCTCCGGGTCAGGATGGGACCGGCCTCCATGTCGACCGAGGGAAAGCTTTCAAGCTCACAGGTCTTCCGGGTGCCCAGCTTGGTTTCGTCGGAGTCGGGATCCAAAGCACCACGTGTGTCTGCAGCAGCTTCTGCAGCTGTTGGCGCCTCACATGCCTCCGTATCCAGCTGGGTTTCATCGGTATCCAAACACAAAGGGCCACGTGTGTCAGCAGCTTCGGGAGCTGTTGGCACTGGTGGCGGGGCTTGCTCGGGCTCGGTGGCAGCTTCGGGAGCTGTTGGCACAGGTGGCAAGGCTTGCTCGGGCTCGGTGCCCGAAGGGCCATCAGCAGCTTCGGGAGCTGTTGGCACAGAGGCTTGCTCGGGCTCGGTGCCCGAAGGGCCATCAGCAGCTTCGGGAGCTGTTGGCACAGAGGCTTGCTCGGGCTCGGTGTCTGAAGGGCCAACAGCAGCTTCGGGAGCTGTTGGCACAGGTGGCAAGGCTTGCTCGGGCTCGGTGTCCGAAGGCCCACGTCTGCCAGCAGCTTCGGGAGTTGCTGGCACTGGTTGCTCCGGCTCGGTTGCACGAGCAAGCCTCAAATCCAAGCACAATTGAAACGGACTCACACCGACTCTTCAGGAACGAACAACGACAAAAGTCGGAAAACACATCCACTTCAATCCCATCTGCTTCCTGCGCTTTGCCTCTGACATCAAAGCCTCCAAATACTCATCCACATAAGCCCTGTCCGTCTGCATGCTCTTGGCGTGGTGACGGGTGCAGCTCTCCTCGACATTCTCGAGTTTGAGCTCATCATCTGAAATGACAATCGAGTCCAGGTCCTACAAATTGCAACACAATCACAAACATGAGTGTTTCACATGTTCGTTGCTCGCTCAAACTACTGCAGTCCTTGCTCGGATCACGAATGGCACCCAATGGAGAAATTAAGCTCTTAGCACAGGAGCTTCCTCGTGGGGGCGGTGTTCTCTCCTCAGTCTCTGAAGCTGGGGAAACCTTGGAGGGTGCAGCGGCAGGGGTTGATTTCTTGGGAACTCGCTTCTCCGGAGGCGGGACAGCCCTGGCGGGTGCAGCAGGAGGGGAGGTTTTCTTGCCAGAAGCTGGTGAGGACTTTGCTTTGGCAGTTGCCCGTGCTTTGGGAGTCGCGACAGAAGCCGGGGACGAAAGGGAAGCACTGCTTGCTCCCCTTTTCAGAATGGAAGGCCCTGGTTTGGCACCTCTGGGCACTGCCTTGGCCGGCGTCTCATCATCTGCCTCCTCCTTGCAAAGCTTCCAACCAAACCATCAACGAGAAACTTCCCAACAAGAACCCTGCTCCCTGCCTCAGCCCCCTCGAAGCCAAAAGCTCGCAAAAGCCTTTGTACAACTGGGTCCTTGGCTAAAATCGTTTCACCACATTGCTCATGCACATGCAGAAGTCACAACCAGAAGCATAGCGCACCAGTACAGACAAGGTTCTTTGGGTATTTTGGGCTTAGTCGTCAGGGATTTGAGAAGTGTCATAAGCCTGCGGAGGGCCCATGCGTCTTGGTGCACCCAAGTCGCACCTGGGTGATCCCTGTTACACAAATGAAGGATCTTTTCCACTTCGGAACTAAGATCGTCCACCAAGGGGACTGCTGTCGGGTCGTTCTCCGCCCATTTCTGAAGAGCGGGCTCGAGCACTTCAACATTGTACCGCAGATTCATCATCGTCTTGTCTGTGAACTGCTTCTCAATATCAGCTTCACTAGCCCCTTTGTTAACTGCTTCAGGATCAGGCAAGAGTAAATGATCGCCTCGGTGAATACGGGACCTGACCAAGGAATTGTCCTCCCATATGGCAGCTAACCCCTTCCACCAAGTCGATTGATCCACCCCGGCCCCTTCAGCAGCCATTGCACCCAAAAACGAAGCTTTCACTCTACCCTGCTCGAAGGCATCAGCGGCTGCATGTGTGAGTTGCTGAGCTGCTCAGTGTCCCAGAGCTGGCAGGCATGCAGTTCTATAAGCAAAATAAGCGAGTCGGGAAGACCATGTCGCATCATCGACATCCGAACAGGGTAAAACACTTCATTGCTGGATCGTGCGGCACAGATTACTTATCAGGCTTCCTAGGGTGCAGTGCAGACCGATTGAAGCTGCAGTTCTGGGTCATTGAGCGTTCCTCGATCGTCACGAAGTTGAAGCTTCCTATTGCCGAACATCTCCGAATCTGCGAAAGCCCCGCTAAGTAAGAAACCAACCCTCTTGCCTCTTGAGTCCGAAGTTGATCCCAAGGCCAAAATCTCCGAAGACAACCCCGTTAAGTAAGAACCCGACCCTCTTGAGTCCGAAGTTGATACGGGAATATTCAGCACTTAGGGTTTTTGCCGGGTCTTCTAATTCATATGTAGCTTTGGAGCCAAATGAAGCCGGTGCCTGAATGCGGAAAAAGAGCCCGGGCTCGAGTCCTGGATCCCTCATCCTAACCCAGAGACTCCAATACCCCCCATAATTCCTCTAAGATCAGGTTAGGCTATTTTGGGACATATATCCTATTTGGCAAAATAGTTTATTTTACCTGGAAATATACTATTTTAAATAGACTATTTCGCTCTTGTTTCATAGTCTATTTTTCCGGTTATTTGGTAAATAGACTATGCAAAAACAGGTTATATGGTAGAATATAGGATATTTTCGCATATGTTGGAAACCAAAAAATCATCGGAAATCCATACAGAACAAAGTCAGTCTTGCTTAGAAAAAACACGTGTGCGAATAGGGAAATGTGTTGAAAACCGATCCGTGTTGAAAGATTTTCTTGAAATGTTAACTCGTTTGATACCGAGGAAATCAGCACGGTCCATTAAACACTCGTGAAAAGTTTGCCCTAGACCCTATACCTTGGACCTGAAAATCTAGGAGCCCTATAAACCCACAGCATTGCTCGCGAGGACATTTTTTCCTCACTCTCCACAAAGCCTGTCCAGCCGCAAGTGCCAAGCTATGCGGAGCTGCTGCGACATTTTTGCCGCAGCCCGAGGGCCGGTCACAGCCCGGCAGCAGGAGCCAGCCAAGGTTCGAGAGATCTTCTGAAGATCCTCTCCTTTGAAGCACCATGTGAGCCGGGGATGCAGCACATCTGCCAAAAGGCAGGCATGCAAGAAGAAATGCATCTTCGGGAGGTCTGCGAAGTAGTTTCCTTCAAAGTGTTCCCGCAGCTGTCGGTGCAGCTGGCAGAGCCCGAAAGCCAATTTCTTGAACTTCTCCGCATGGTCTGGAGGCATGGCCATCTCGGTCCTCGTAGCATGCAGGATCTTCTCGAGGGCTAGATTCACCTTCAAGTAGTTCTCGATCTTGAGGTGAATTTCGAGGTCTTTGTTCATGAAATTCTGCCAGCAGAGGAGTAGTGGTTCCCCCAGAGCCTGGATCTGCATGGCTCTCCCCTTGAGTTTCGGCGGGAGCTTCTTCCTCTGAAAAAGACTGAGCTTTCTCATGCCCCTGAACCTTTCCACGATTTTCAAGGCTTTGTAGGAGCTGAGCAGGTGCTCCCACACACATCGCAAATTCGCGAGAGGTGAGTCGGGCAACACGAAGTTGACGAGCAAGCTCAGCACACTCCCGAATCCCAGAGGATCCAGCCCCAAGTACTTCGTGTGCATGTAGTCCATGTGGCAACTGAGTGCAGAGCATACTCCGCTGTCGAACAGCGGGTTTTTCGGGCGGTCCGGAAAAGACCGCCACTCTGCCAAAGACCATTGCATGCTGAGCCATGGCGCTGTCGGTTTGCAATTCCTCCAGGAGGTGGAAGTCTCGTCGCCCGAGCATTTGCAAAGGCCGCACGGGTTGTGCTTTTGGCCAAAATGTGGCATGTTCAATCTTGAGACCATATACTCAAGATCGCCGACCAATGCCCAGATGACGCCTTTCCACCCCCCCGCCAAGGGCGATCCTGCCTTACGGCCCAGGTCGCTCGTGGGCGGGTACCTCTGACAGTGTGAAAGCTGACAGAAAAGTGTTACTTCGAACAGTCCATTGTCTGCCACCAAAAGTTGCTACTTAAAGTTTGTTGCTACTTAGAGCGAAGCTTTGCTTATGTGTGAGTAGACTTTGGATAGCACATCTTGCCTGTGACTCATGAAAGAGATTAGGATTCCATTTTGTTGCTTATAAGACAGAAAAACAAGAGGTTATCGCTAGTGTTTCGCTGCTACATAGAAACTTTCGTCCTTTACACATTCGACTTGGGCTTTTTACTTATAAAGAAAAGAAAAGGCATTCAGCTCTTATGCGACGTGTTTCTACTTCTGTTAGAAAGAGAATGAGTTTTATCCGATTTGACCCCAACCAGAAAGATAATGATGCAATCCCGGGTGCAGGTTGCCCTTGTGGTCTGCAAAGGGCCAAAGACCTTCTTGCAGCACCTTGAAGCTCCAGGCCAGCATGCTGAGGAAGGTAGTCGCTGCTGTGCCGTCATCTGTTTCATCGAAGAGGAAATAAATGGGCAGTTGCGAATCCTTGGTCCAGGCAGGACCACCAACCAGGCTACACCAGCTCCAGGTGGTTAACATTCGGCTCCATATCTTCCCGACACCTATTGCAGGTGTTCCATCGCCGTGTAAAGAAAGCGGCACGAACTTTCGAGGCTCAAAGGAAGCCTGGCTTACCACAGGGTGGTCTTTGAACTGCGGGTGCTTCTTCTGTAGCCGCCAGAACTCCTGCAAGACATTCGCATCGGCCACCACGTACCGCTTGAAAGCTTCGTGGTAATTCTCGTACAAGGCGGAGAACATCTCATGAGGCAGCATCATGAGCTGGGGCTGATTTCCCCAGGGCTGCTTGAACTGTAGAGCAGTCCGCTGCAAAGGCGGCAATCTGCAACCAACTTCTGTAATTTTCATGATCTCACGTCTCATGTTGTTAGGGTGGATGCCGCCTGAACCCAGCTTCGCCAGAGCTTGCAACTCCGTTGGGGCCTTTGCTCCACAATTCTCGAAGTCTTTGACAGCCTTCGCAGCCAGTGCCTGCATGGCCTGGACAGACAAATCGCCCCAAGACCATCTTTCCTTCAGGTCCTTGGCCAAAACACTTTCAGAAACAGACGGCTGGTCCTGCTGAGCTTCGGCGGCGGCAAGTCGCTGTCTCTGACCCACCACTACTCGTCGTCTTTTGGGAGCAGCTTCTGCTTCGCCGTCCATGGCTGCAGGGAGGTGTCATTGCTACGTAGAGAGAAGGCCCTTTTTTGCTACTTATAGAGAACTCTGATTGAAGGGACGGGGCCCTTAGAAAGAGGAATAAATCTTCATGGGTGTGGTGCTTCGGTTTTCCTATAAACCTTGTCTAGCGGCCGTCTGTGGGGCCATTAAAGAGACCATTGTGTTACTCAGAAAACTGTGATTGCGGGGACGGGGCCCTTAGAAAGAGGAATAGATCTTCACGGGTGTTGTGCCTCGGTTTTCCTATAGACCTTGTGTAGCAGCCGTGCACCGGGAATCTGTGGGGCCATTAGAGAGACCGACATGTGGATCTTCACCCAAGATTTGAGGGCCATTGGGCATTAGAAAAAGGAATACACAAATGGATGTTTCTGTTGTGAGCCTGCCTAGGTTTTTTCTACCGCAGGGCCAGAAAGAAGCTGTGCAAAGGAAAAGTTCACTGGGAGGTGGCTCCAGAGGGGGTTAGGCTGAAGACTTGCAAGATTCTGCACATCACCGGCTGCATGCTGCTGGTCCTCACACGAGTCGTGAGAGCGTTTTTGCGAGGAAGCCGCCTTCGTGGAACTATTCTCGGTGCCTGGGGCAGAGAGGGGCCCTAGCGCTCAGCAGCTGCACACCTGCACAAGGCCATGCAGAAAACCCGATGTCTATGGGCTCTGCTTCCCGGCGGACGCAGGTGATTTGCTACTTAGAGCCGGGCCCTCTGGTGGGGCTTTGCTACTTAGAACAAGCCCGGAGGCAAGATAGAAGCCTCTGTCTGTGAAGCCCTGTGAGAGCCTACATCGTCTATGTCTAGCATTCTTACACATGAGAAGAAAACCTTTCAATTAAATGGGGGCATGAAGAAAACTTTTCAATTTTATAGGGACCTAGAAACACAGACAGAGGCAACACCTTGTCTGCAACACGGCCAAGAAAAGTAGCTCTTTCAGAGCTCCTTGCGGGTTTTCAACAAAGCCCGGAACTGCTCCACCTTCTCGTTCAAAGTCGTGACCGCAGCGGCCTGCTCCTTGACAACGGCGGCGAAGGACTGCTCAGAGATGGCTTCTCCGGACGGCAGCTCATCCCAGGCGAGGGCATGCTCCTGCTTGTGGCTCCAGTCCTTAAGCTCGAGCAAAACCGCCTTGAAGTTCAAGCGATCCTCGTCACTCTTGCACTTCTGGGCCATTTTCATGCCCGTACCGTGACGCTTGTCCACGGCTTCCTTCGCTTCCACCAGCACGGCCCGCTGCTTGTCAGAGAGCTTTCCAGACTCCAACATCTTCTGGGCCGCCTTGCTGCCGGAGGCGGAAGAGCTGGCCACATCGCAGATGGCATGGGAGCCGGCATCGTCGAAGTCGAAGGAAAGGTCGTCCAGGGCGGCACTCACCTCGCCGAAGGCGCCCTTGCTCAGCTTTTGCTCGCCGCCGTGGAGGTTGTGGTTGTCCGAGACCTTCTTCGCCATGCCACTCTTGAGTGTGCGGTAAGAGCACATCTCCACCCCGCCGACTGTCCAGCAGTCCACGGCACCCTTGTCGATGCCCTGCTGGAGTGCGGACTCGTTTCCGTGGTACGTCTCCCACAGAAACACGTGGCGAGGCTTTCCGAGTCGCTCGTCCTTGCCGTAGTTCTCGTGGCTCGCCGTCTTGGTGCTGCTGAAGACCGGGTCCTTGGGATTCATCACGAGCTGGCCGTTGCCATCCTTGACGAAGAGGGCATTGA